TATGCGCTCAATGCGTGAAACGGAACGCACCCTAGGACTCTACCAAAAGTTAAACAAAGATAGAACGACATTTGTGTGCACACGGGTGATGTTTCCGAACGCAGCCAAACGCGTCGATGCGCTCTTTCTGTAGGCGGGAGCCCTGAATATACTTTGCGCATGCGCACTACAATTATAAAATGAACTTATTTTGCACGTAATTAAAAAAATTATCAATTTACAAACATAACATTGGTATATTTGTAAATCACAAACGATTTCCTGTCGATTACAGTTTAGTTATCACAAAATCTGTTTATTACTAAAAAGTATCGGCTGATGTCATGACTAAACTAAAATTGTTAATTACAAAAAACCTAATTTGTCACAAACGTTAAAAACAGACTCACAATCAATCACAAACAATTTACAAACAAAATATGCTCAGAAAAGTAAAAAATAATCATATTTAGTAATTTCTGCCGGCTAACTTCATATAGATAATTAGAGTCCTATATATAATTAGAGAAGCGACATCGTTACCCCCTCCATGCTTTCCATGATCGCCATGTTGGGCCCGCAGCTGTCCATTTGTAATCTAAAATGTCTTTGTTGCTAGGATGCGAGAATCCATCGTTATGTATCGCTCATATGTAACTGTTGTCATTTGTAGAGCGCTTCTCCCAAAACTTTGTCTACTTTTGGGTTGTCTTTTCTCGCTGCGCGCTTATACTTACGCGAATTGGTCGATCCTTTTTAATTAATTTCTCAATAATTATTACGAAAATCGCAAAATGGTATAGAATTTTCCTTCTCAGTTTGAGCCAATCACACTTTGGGTGTGTCAAAAATTATCGGACACCCTGTATATATATAATAACAACAGATATTTTAGTAACAATATTTATATCTAAAAATAATAATATATGATATTTATAACAATTTTTCTTCAAACTTGTCTATCTGTAAAATATTCTAAAATCCATAAAAAGGTGAGCATTTTGGGCTAACCAATAGAAATGGACTGTCGCCACATTGCGAACGGGACTTGCCCTCTGCGATTAGACCGAGCGTCTCTCGTTGGTGTCGGTGTACTCTGCTGTGTTTTGTCGATTTTGGCGGGCCGGACTTTGCCAGCGGTACCTTTGTGCCTCGATTATCTTTCGTGTCTTTACGAATTTCGGAGGGATAAATGATGACGGACAAGGATGGCGGTAAGGAACCATGTTTTTCTCGTTAAGTGCTCGCAACCGTATTTCCGCGCGGTAATAAATAAATTAGGGGCAATCGGCAATTTTCGCAAAAGGACGCCCCGATATAAACCGCCACGCTGCTCATTTCATCGACAATAGAGCGTAATCTTGCCGCTCTCGTAGTGTTTGTAAATATGCATAAAAAATCGATTTAACGATTATTATGACAATAGTTCCGGAAAGAGAGTTCTCGCGATAATATTTCTAAATAATATAGTAAATGTTTCTGAGACTACACAATAAGCCGGTTGAACGCGCCATGTCCTTACAAGTATTTAAGCGAAATTGTTGCTTGAAATTAAAAACAAGTATTTCATTCACGGGAAATACTCCTTAACTTCGTCGTGGAATGTTTGTAACTAAAATATATTGGAATATTAATTTATAAATTGTATATAAATATTAGAGATATTGTTTTCAATTTCACAAATTTTGGCACAAAATGATTGCGTACTTATATTATTAATTATGCATTAATTATACATACAATTATAATAATGTAAAACTGATATATATATATATATATATATATATATATATATATATATATATATATATA